GAGGCTGGGCTCTACGAGGACAAATGCAGCATCAGGATTGGTGGAAGATCTATCAACAATCTACATTATGCAGATGACACAACCCTGCTTGCTGAAACTGAGGAGGACCTGAAGCACATTCTGCAGAAGGTCAAGGACTGCAGCCTTCAATATGGATTGAGGCTGAATGTGAAGAAGACAAAGATTTTCACAGCTTTGGTTTGCTTGGCTCCACAGTCAACATCCTTGGCATCAGCAGCCAGGAAAATAAAAGGCGTACTGCGACGGGAAAGTTTGCTGTCAGAGACCTCTCCAGGGTACTGAAGAGCAATGGTGTCTCTCTGGAGACTAAGGTGCGTCTGATACAGGCCACGGTCTTTGCAATCACTTGTTATGCATCAGAGAGTTGGACAATGACTAGGGAAGATAGAAGGAGAATTGATGCCTTTGAGCTTTGGTGTTGGAGAAGAGTATTGAGGGTACCATGGACTGCTAGGAAAACAAAGATTCTTCCTGGAGAGGGTTAAACTGGGCTACTCCTTGGAGGCAAGGATTCTGCGGCTTCGTCGACATACTTTGGTCATGTTGTAAGGAGAGACCGGTCCTTGGCGAAGAACATCATGCTTGGGAGGGTGGAGGGCAGGCGCAGGAGGCGAAGGTCCTCTAGGAGGTGGACTGATTCTGTGACCAGGGTAATCGGGATGGGTGTGTCGGAGACAGTGAGATTGGCACAGGACAGAGCAGAGTTTAGGGCTCTTGTACATAGGGTCGCTATGAGTTGCAAGCGACTTGATGGCACATAACAACAACAAACAACATTAAGACACAAGACAATTTCTCTTTTTTTCCCCTACCAACCTTAAAGATTTTTCAACAACTTGCGTACGATAAACTTCTTCCTGGTCCAAATTTATGGTACAGAAACAATCTCTCATTTTGTTGGGTCCAAGATATGGCAATAAATTTTTTGCTTCACCTGTGGGGACAAAAAAATTGAAAACAGTATTATCACCAGACACTTCATATTAATCCTTTTACATTTTTTTTAAATTTAAATTTATTATTAATTTCATTAAAAATTTACAGAGATTTTGGATTTCCATTCATTCATTGTTGCACTTTTATCCCCTCCTAACCCTCCACCCTAGTACACTATCCTCTTGGAAAAGTAAAAGAAAAATTCTTCCATTGTTTTACAAACCCTCCCCCAGGTCCACTCCACCATGTAGCCTTCGCTCTAGACTCCTGTCATGACAAAAATACCTAATCACATATCCCTTTTAAACAGTTTTCTCCCTCATCTGTTTCAATGCAGTATACATTATTGAACCCATCTTTCTCAGTCTCTCCCCAACCCCAAGGTTAGTCCTGTTTTACAACAGTGGCACCATGCAGTATTTGTCCTTTTGTGACTGAGATACTTCATTCAGCATAATGTCCTCGAGAGTCATCCATTTTGAATAATATTTAATGAGTTCCTTGTTTTTCAATGCAGTGTAGTATCCCACTGTGTGACTATACCACACCTTCTCCATCCATTTGTTTGTTGATGGGCACTTGGGTTGTTTCCAACTCCTTGCTATTGTGAACAATAAACATGGGTGTGCATATATCTGCATGGATGTCAGTTATGGTCTCTTTGGGGTATATTCCCAGTAGTGGAATTGCTGGGTCAAATGATATCTATCTGTATTTGTAACTTTTTGAGAAAACACCATACCACTTTCCATAGTGGTTGCACCATTTTACACTCCATCAACAGTGAATAAGGGTTCCAGTTTCTCCAAAACCTCGCCAGCATTTGTTGCTTGCTGTTCTGTTAAATTTTGCTAATCTGACTGGGGTGAGATGATATCTCACAGTTGTTTTAATTTGCATCTCTCCTAGAGCTAGGGAATTTTGAACATTTCTTCATGTGCTTGTTAGTCATCTGAATGTCTTCTTCGGTGAAGTGTCTGTTCATATCCTATACCATTCTTCTATTGGATTATTTACCTTTATCTTGTTGTGGTGCTCAAGTATTTTATAAATTCTGGATATAAGTCCCTTATCTGATATGTCATTACCAAATACTTTTTCCCAGTCAGTGGCTTCCCTTTTCACCCTGTTGTAATCCTTTTACATCTTTGTGAAGTGTTGTAAAGTTGACTGCAACTCATCCAGCCTATGTACAAAAGAAAGAAATACTCCCAATCTTGTATCATTTTCATAATCTCTGCTGAGCTTGAACCCACTTTTGCAGAGAAACGGAATACAATTAGCAGAGTAAATGTGGTGGGGGTGATGGTGGTGTCGTCTACTGGACTGACCTTGCAATGGGTTTTTAGAGGCAGTAAATCATATGGGAGGAGACCGCCCATCTTTTTCTCTCCAGCAGGTGGAGAATTCTAACCACAGCCTTTGCATTATCAGGACAATTCTTGACCACTAAGCCACCCGAGCTCCCCGTAGTAGGTGGCGTTGTTGTTGTTGCTGTGTGCCATCAAGTCAGAACCATCAGAACCAACCCATAGCTGACTTTCCAAAGGGTTTTTAAAAGTAGTTAACAGCACGGGAGGAGACTGCCTATCCTTATTCGATGGAGCAGCTGGTGGATCCAAACTGCTTGCCTTTAGGATTGCAGTGCAGCTTCTTACCCCTAAGGCCACTAGAGCTCCCCATTAAGAGTATTGTTGCTTGTTGTTGTACCAGGAGTCAGAACCAACCCATAGCTGACCCTCTGGTGAGTTAAATCAAATGGGAGGAGACTGTCTACCTTTCTATGATGGTGGATTTGAACCACGAGCTATTGGAACTGCAGAGTAGGTTCTTTTTAAAAAAATAAATAAATAAATTTTTTTGAATTTTATTATGATTTTAACAAAAGTTCACAGAAAAGTTAGATTTTCATTCATTCATTTCATTGTTGCACATTTTACTCCCTCTCTATCCCTTCCCCTCTACCGTTTAACTTTTTTAAAAAAAATTCATTCATTGTTGCATAATTACCTCCCTCCCCCACAGTCTCTTTGCCATGGGCCTCTTATTCTAGGCTGTTGTCGAACGTACAATGCCTGATCATATACTCCTTTTAAACAGCTTTTCCTTCATTAGTTTTCATAATTTAGTCCCTCTTTTCTTAGTCATGGTCTCCCTTCAATGTGCCCGCTTCTCTATTTTAATGATAAGTCACTACTACCAGTTAGGTTAATTCCAACAAATGGTAACCCCATATGTGTCAGAGTAGAACGAAGCATCATGTGGCTTTCAATAGCTGATTTTTCAGAAATAGAATACCTGACCTTTCTTTCATAAACCACAATGTGGACTTGAACCTTTAACCTTTAAGTTAGGAGCTAAGTAAATTAACTGCTTGCATGACTCGAGAAACTTGCATTGTTATTAGAAGCAGATACAAAGAACACATGTTCATGCTTTTTATGTATGCCTGGGTCTGCAGCACATCCTTCAGAAACCTTTCCTATGCTTTTGATACTTGCTATAAACACACTTGGCACAGTTCATAGGGAACTGCAGAGCAGCTTCTTACCATTAGGCCACCAGAGCTCCCTATTAAGTGTCATACAGGGATGACATTTTTTTGTCATACAGGAGGGACGGCGCAGGAGAGGAAGGCCCTCTATGAGGTGGATTGATTCAGTGACTGGGATAATTGGGATGGGAGTGTCTGGCACAGGACAGAGCGGAGTTTAGGGCTGTTGTACATAGGGTTGCTAAGAGTCACAGGCGACTCGACGGCACATAACAACAACAACAACACAGTGTCAAAAAAATTATTAGAGCAAGATCATTAACTTGGTGTAAAAGAGTGTGGAAGGGAAATGGGGCGCATGGGGCCATGTTATTACACTGGCCTCATGAAAGGAATTCCCCACCAACCTCCCACCTGTATTTCTCCATCCCATCCTCTAAGTGCCACCTCAAGAACTCTCTTGTTACTGTTAGGTACCATCAAGTTGATTTCAGCTCCTAACTATCCCAAATTGCTCCATAGGGTTTCCTAGGCCTGCAATCTTCACAGCAGATGAGGGCCAGGCGTGCTCCCACAGAAGTGCTGGCTGAGTCTGAATAATCAGCCTTCAGGTTTGCCGCCAAGTGCTGAACCACTGCACCACTAAAGCTCTTTGCAAAATTGTTACAGTGACTATTAATCCTTTCCTGTGGTACATTGTTTTTCCTTGTCTAATAATCATCCCCATGAGCCCTAAAACAATCTTTGGTATTTTTCAATTTTACAAAGCAAAAATTCCCCCTTATTCCAAAAACTGCCACTTCTTGTTATCACCCCAATTCTTTATTTTTCACTGAAAAACTGTTCAAAACAATAATTTTCAGTCCTTGCGTCTACTTTCTCAACTTTTGTTTACTCTTCAACTCTCTCCATGTTACTGTACTTGCTCTCAGCAAGGTCACTGGTTATGGTCAAATCCAATGATCATTCCTCTATTCTTATCTCACCTTATAGCATCATTTAACACAGTAAATAAACAGTAACGGTCCTCCCTAAAATGGTCCCTCCCCTTGGCTCTCCCAAACACCATTTCTGACTTTCCTTGCCTACCTCAAAAAATGCCAGATTTCAAATTAATTTTTAAGTCTGCGGAATTTTCTGATGAATTAGATGTGAGGATGGATAGGGCATACACCTTTGAATGAGAATGTGAGAAAGACAAAGATGGTAATACTATTATTTGAAAATAATACCGGGAAAGGAGCATATTTTAGGGAAGGAAATCAGAAAACCTCTCTGAGATGGGTTAAATCTAAGATGCCTATACATAGCCAAGGAGGCAGATAAATGTTCACATTTCATGGTGAGGAAGAGAGATCAGGCTTGGCATCAGCAATGACATCATGCATCACAGATTTTGTGGAGGGGAAAAAAGAGAAAGTGGTCTAGAACTGGGTCCTGGGGCATCCACAATTAGCAGCCAGACGAGGTGGAGTTCAGGCTGCTTCTACTAGCAAGCACGGTCACTGAAATGTCCAGGATTTCTGCAGTACCTTTTTTTTTTAAATGTTTTTTTTTTACAGAGGTTTTGGATTTCCATTCATTCATTGCCACAATTTTCTCCCTGCCCACCCCTCCCCACCAGCTCGCTTCCCCCTCCGAAGAGAGGAGAAAAAAAATTCCTTCATTAGTATACAATTCCCAGGTCCCTTCCG